ACGCGTTATACATCAACAACATACCGTGATACTATCATAGATATATAATAGCACACTTTAGAAGTTTCAAGTACTCACGAATAACATTATTCAATCACAACAAAATAACTAAAATAGTTATTCTAGGTTTTTTAATATGTATTTTCGTCCAAATTTGAATTTAAAATTTCTGTAGAAAATAACTGTGTTCATATATTTTTTAGATTTTTTGGTTACAGTATGAACTATTTATGAGAACCTTTGTTTTAAATTTGCAATCCTTAGCTATAAAAACTGAACATTTTATAATTTATTAATTACAATGATTTATAATTTTCGAGATTTTGATAAATTTTGTCAAAATTCGATCTTTAAATGCTTATAAAAAAAAACTGTGCCTATGTATTTTTAATATTTTTCAACTGCTCTTGTAACAATATATCAGGAGACTTGTATTAATTTTTTACACTTTTTGGCGCAATAGATAAAATTGTATTGATATTTATAGAAAAAAAACTAAAAAAAATTGAAAGATGTAAATGTCCATAAACAGCTCAAAAAGAGTCAAAATATTTTCAAAATTGTATGGTGTATAGGAAATGCTAATATAAATATTCAGTGAAATTTTCATGTATCTAAAGTTATTCGTTTTTGAATAACAACAAAATAAGGAAATCGCTACATGAGAAATCGAGTGAATATTCAATGTTGTAAAAATTTGAATTTCAAACGCTCTTAAAAATTTAATTTGACTTTCTTGTATACATTTTTTTTTTGATAAGGATAGATAATCTTATAAGGAATCTTGTATTACATTTTCAAATCTTAGATTTAAAAAGAAAAATTTTTACGAATTTCTAACTCAAAGTAATTTGCTAATTTTAGTGATTTTTCGATATTTTGTCAATTTTTGAACTTTAAATGCTTATAAAAAAAAACTGTGACTAAGTATTTTTAATATTTTTCATCTGCCTTTGAAAAAATATACTAGGAGCCTTGTATTAAATTTTCAAGCTTTTTTAACCAACAAATAAAATTTTATTGATATTTCTAGAAAAAAAACAAAAAAAATGGAAAATGAAAATGTCCCTAAACAGTTCAAAATAAATCAAAATATTTTGAAAATGTTATCGTATATAGAAAATGCAAATATAAACAACCAGTGAAAATTTCATGTACCTAAGGTCATTTTTTTTAAAGTTACACCAAAAACTAAATTCAATTTTGTGAAAAATCGATTTTGCGTAAAAATTCCCGTTTTTCCTTAATTTTTATGTTGTTTTTCCCGGTGCTTTTGAAAATTACTGAGCATTTTATATTTTGACCTCCCAATGCACCAACGATATTCACTTTCCAATCGAACAAGATACTGAAGTTGAAAATCGAAGCATTATTTCTACTACTTATCGTGTACACAGACACAAAAAAAAAAGAAAAAAAGAAAACTATAAATTATATTATACTTGTTGAACTAATATTAATTTTTTTTATGGTTAAATAATAGGAAATTGTTGCGCGTTACCCTTTTATTATATTAATATAGGTAATATGATTATAATTTCTTTTTTAAATATAAATGTGGTGATAAATAATATAGGTCACATACTAAATCTATTTATTGATTTTATCCATTCGATAAACTGTAATTCATTGGATTGTGCAATACTTATAATATAGTAGTTTGTATAGTAGGTAATTTTAAAATAACAGTTACTTATAGAAATAATTTTTTAATAAATTTATGTTACAATTTGTTATCATTATATTTTACAACTATACATTTTAAATTAGTTATTTTTCTCAGTCAATGTACCCGATCTCTAAAAATTACAGAATGATAAATAAAGATTTTAGAGTTTTATTATTATCATTACGAGTAGATTACCTATAATTATTATATTACTATACATATTAGGTATACGTTAGGTAATAGGTATACCTACTACAAACATATTATTAATTTAAATAAATATTTGCAGGGGCGGTTTGGGCCACCGGGAATTCGGGAGTTTTCCCGGTGGGCCGCTTTTTCAAATAACTATGTATTCTTAAATTCCTATTAGGTACCAGCCCAGTAAATTTGCATTTTTTTCCTTATTTTTCAAAATAAGATAATACGAATTGAATTGCGGACAGTATTTAATAGTAGGTATATCAGGTAGACAATCTATGCTGGCACAACGATGAGAGACAGAAAGCAAAAATATAGTATTTTTCGAAAAGAAAAAACAGCAAATGTAATATAGCGGGGTCACTAGTTAGGACAGTTAAAATCGAAAACAACCCTTGATATGTTATGTAAAACCACATTCTGTGATCTCTAGGTAACGACAAACTTCGGAAAAAGTCTACTTTACTTGACATCCCGTGGAAGTAGAAAATAGAAAAAGTCAACCTGATTTGAGCAGTAAGCACTGTATAATATCAAAAACTATGATTTGCTGTAACTTTTGAACAGTGTTTAAATTTCCGAAAATTGTTTCATACATTTTTAATTCAGTATACTAATACGATAGTATACGTATTTCGGGTGTAAACAATTTGAGCGTCATTCGTTTGGGCGAATAATACAAAATTAACTTAGAAAGCATAAAGCAGAGTAAAGCATATATCATTTGGGTCAGAAATCAACCGATCGTTTAGGCGAATTTATAAATTATTGAATAATAGGGAAGTAACATTACGTAGGTATACAATAATTGAATAATTTCTATAATATTTAGTTACTACAGCTAAATATTATTATTATATCGTTTCGGCTGATCGGTGAATACAGATAGACGATAGTGAACGATAATTTGTTAGATTGTACTAAGACGGAGACAAAACATTTTACTCAATATTATATTACATAATAATACTAAAGAAAAACAAGACTATACAATTTTTCTGGTTGTTTAGAATTGAAGTACCTACATAATGTTATTATGAATAAACCACAGTAAAACATTTTTTTTGAAAATAAAAAGATACACATACATTTTGCATGTTGATTCTGTTAATTTACCTATCAGGTATATTAAGTGGAAGTAAATTATAAGTTTTTATTTAAGTCTAAAAACGCATTATTAAATATTATTGAATAGGTAATAACCATTCTTATTAAATACAAAAATCGTAACGTTAGTAATTTAAATTATTCACTTTTACTGTGTTATATTATATAAGTACTTGGAATTTGGACTATTATAAATGTGTAAACATAAACTGTTCAAAAATAAAAACAAATTTGATATCGATGTATATACACTACGAATAAAGTTTTATAAATTTCATATCTTGCCAAACGCCCAAACGTGTAGTTATGTTAAAATAGTAATACATAATAATATTATGTTGGCTAAAATTAAATATTTGGTAAATTGGTAATCCGGTATTAATCCCGGGCCGGAATCTCTCCCCAATCCGCCCCTGAATATTTGTAATTACTTATTATCATATTTTAATATAACATTAACAGTTGAACTTAAAAAATAATACACGGTAAATTAATATTAATTTAATTGCGCTGTATTTATTTTATTTACCATTTATTAGATTTTACTATAAGTATTATATTTAAATAAGTAATAATTCAATAACTTCAAATCAAGCTATGTTATAATACAGTTTCTACGGTCTACATGTTGGGACATAAATTTAAGTAAACAGTATCTTAATTTATAATCTGTAGTTCGTAGGTACGCGAGGGTATTGAAAATATTACGACGGCATTTGCATATAATGAATTATATAATGATACGAATGGTACTGGACGAACGTTCATAGACAAATAAACGGCGCTCCCGCAGTCCCGAACGAGCACTCGTCGCCGCCGTCGGCCGGTTGCGAATAGTAGGCGTGACTTAAACGCCGCGCGCTTGCGGATCGTGAAAACACCTAACAGCGCATCCTCTCGGTCGTTGCATGCGTACAGCTTTGGGTGACACGTCCTCTTAAATCGTGGTGTAGACACAGAATAATGGTATAGAAGTTTGTGTTTCCATCAGGTTCTGACTGCACTAGTGCACACTACACGCGAACACTGATACCATAATCACAGACCACAGTATTACATAATTGTCCACATCGCCAAAATTCACGCCTCACGGTGTCGACTAGTGTGCAGTGTGCACTACACAGTTAGATGGAAAACACTTGGTCGGTGCTCTATAAGACCATAGAACAATAAGACTTATTATAATCTTTAATCGTGGGCAAATTATAGCATGGAGTATGAACTCATAGGTAATTTAGATAAAAATTTAAAAATATTCTTGTATTATATATGCATGAACTATGAACGTCATCTAATCTATTCTGTGCGTTCCTTAGATCATTACAGTGCCACAGTGGATGGAGCCACAACCACAGATATATAATTTAGATATATAATATTATTATATATCTGTGGCCACAACTCAATATTTCGATGTACGGATGTACATGTTAGCGCCACTCACGGTTATGTTGGCCTTTACTTTACCTCTACTTTGCGCCAGCTGACCTGCACAATTGGCGCCTATATATATATAGGGGCGACTAATTAATAGCGCATGCGCAGTAGAGGCCATCATAAGCGTGCGTGGCGGAGATTCGTCGCAAACATGTACATCATCGATGTTATATGTAATCTATAGGTCATGGCTCTATCCATTGTATATTTGTATAATATGATCTAAGTAATGTTCATGGTAAATACCCAGATTGCAATACCTATTAAATTGATAACAATTGATCACTGTATCAGTTAGTAGTTAAGAATTTATTGTAATCTTTAGTCTTTACAACTTTACTTTTATCGTTTTACTAAAAATCTACAATTCTTTAGTACCTAGTTAAGTTTAATTCTTTAACCATGCTTAATGGTTAAGAGGAAGAACTTTAGTACCTATTTGAGTGAATTAGATCACATTTTTTTAATTTTAAATTTTAAACTGTTTAAATATATTTGAAAGTTTTGTTTTTCAATTACTTGTTTTTGTCTAATATACCTATTTCTAATTTTGTTTTTAAACACCCAATTTAGAGTTAGTTCTATAATGATGAGCAACTTAAATTTAAACAAAATAACCTATATCTATGAATTGCCATATGCAGAACGTAAGGAATTCTGCAATATAATGGACATGAATGATAAATGGGAAGAACTAGGTAACGAGTTATTAAACAATATTAAATAATACAGGTAGGTAGGTAACTAAATTTTAATAATTACTTCGTTTTTGTTTTTAGGTGGATATTATATGAAAATTGACCTTGCAACAATATTTAAACTTAGTAAAGCTCCCATGCGTAATCATTCTTCCACTGATGAACTTTTAACATTATGGGGAGAACAAAATCATACAATATTAGAACTATTTAGTATTTTAAATAAAATGCAGCATTATCAAGCAATGATTATACTTAAACCATTCGGTATAAATTAAAAAAATTACAATTAATACTTTTAATGTGATTAACTATACCTATAATTTTCTTTTTTAGTCGATCATAAGTATCATAAATTAATAAATCAGGGTGCTATAAGCTTAAGTTACTTGGTAAAGTCCGAAACTGGCAACAATTTAAATGTAATAATTGTAGTTATATTATTGCAATTTTAGATTAATTTAATTTTTACTAATTCCTACATTTAATTTTTATAGAATGAAGTTGGCAATGTTATAAAACTGAACACTGATAACAATGAAAGAAGAGTTAATAATCTAAAACGTAAAGATTTAAATACATCTGATCTATCTGTTACGCTTTCCTCTGCTGAAGCATGTATCCCTTTGATAACATACAAAGAACTGGAACAAGCTACCAATTACTGGAATAAGGAAAATATTTTGGGAAAAGGAGGTTTTGGAGTGGTTTTTAAAGGTATATGGAAAAGCACGGCTGTTGCTATTAAACGTCTTGAAGCTCAGGTTATTATACATTTAATTATTGGTACAATTAAATATATCTTTTAAGGTTCAACGTTTTGTAAATAACAGGATGTATATTTTCAGAAAGGAGCAGAACAACAATTTAATATTTTAGAAGCTCAAAGACAACAATCATTAAGAGAACTGAAGTATTTAAATTCTTGCAGACATGATAATATTTTATCCCTATATGGATTTAGTATTGGTGGTGAAAAACCATGTTTAGTGTATCAATATATGATCAACGGTTCTCTTGAAGATCGATTACAATGTCTAGTAAGTTTTAAAAATATTTATTGTAGAATAATAATTTTGAACTCTATGTAAAGTGTACATTTTAAAATTAAAACATAAATTATAAAACAGTATTGGTTTGGTAAATTATAGTTATGGAAATAGTATAATGAAGTAGATAGTTGCATACTTTTATATTCCAGTAACGTAACACTGAGAATGTAAAATAACAATAAATATTGAAAACTAAAATAAAAAAACAATAATCTTTTGATAAATTATTAAAAAAAATTGTATACAAACCGCAGTATCTATTTATAAATTATTTTTATTTTTATTTAAATTTAAATCTATGAGATTACTGGGCCTCACTCAGACATACTCTTGTGGAGGCTCAGGGCTATCTACTATACATTACATATTTATATACAATTTATAATTAACAGATATTTACAACTTTGTTCCATTTACAACTTTGTTCCATTGCATTAGCTATGCAAATTAGTGCATAGCATATTACTTGACTTTTTAAATTAAGTGTTTTTATATCATTTAGTTAGATATTAAATAAAATAGGAGATAACATTGTACCTTGAGGGACTCCACATTTTATTGTCAACTCATTACTGACGGAATCATTAATTTTTACCATTTGTTTCCTATTATTAAGATATGATGTAAAAAAAAGAAAGAGCGGAACCAGATATTCCTATACTATTCATTTTATTTAAAAGTATTTTATGATAACATACTTTTAAATAAAATGAATAGTACTGTACTGCGTTTACTGTATCAAACACTTTGGTTAAATCGAAAAATTATGAAATAAATAGTAGCGCATTTTTTCTCTTCTTCTGAGGCAGTATATATAATTTTAGTTACATTGGTTATAGCTTGATCAGTGCCCTTACCTGGTCTGAATCCAAATTGGTATTTAAAGAATAGATTATTTGATTCTAGAAAGTCTAGTAATCTCTTTTTTGTTATTTTTGCTATATTTGAAATTACTGAGATTGGCCGGAAGTTACTATATGATGTAATTGGACCTTTTTTGTGTATTGGTGTGATTATGGCTACTTTAAAGTTATCTGGTATTAGGTTTTGAGAAATACATAGGTTAAAAATGTGACATAAGGGTATACAAAATGTGGTATCGTGTTATTTTAATAAATCAGTTGTAATTTTATCAATTCCAGGAGATGATTCATTTTTTCAATTTGGAGATTGCTTTTAATATTTCTTCTGTTGTTATAGTTTTCAACTTATTTAAAGAAGGCTTATTTTAAATTTCTGTATCATTTAATTCAGATGGAGTAATAAGGGGGGTGTTTTCAATTTTACGCTTTTGTAATTATGCAACAAAATCTGATGCCACGTTTGCAAAATAATTATTAAATAGATTAGCTTATGTACTATTTTGTTTATTTATATCTATTGTATCATTAATTAATTCAATTAAGTTTTCAAAATGATTTTGTTTTTATTTTTTGCAATTATATTAATTAAAAAATTAATGTATACACCGTTATATTGTATTATTATAATGTGTTAATAAATAAAATAAAATATATTAATTGTACTAGTATTGGCTAAATGTAGGCACCTAATAGATATTTGTATATCTACAGTCTATACCAAAAGGCAAAAAAAATTGTTTAATAATTTGAGTTCGTTAAAATATTGTATGATATACAAGCCTTGTTGCAGTTGTAAATGGTTATAGTTGGTTACATATTAGAAGAAATATGGCATATACAATATACATATTGTACAAATATATTTTAAAAAATAAAAATCTTTGGCCTGGAAAACATTGGGCGGAACAGCCATTACTTATAAAATAAAATATATTATTCCTATAGAGTTGGAAGTTTCAATGGGTAACGAAGTGCACAGGATCAGCTAGTTAAAATTAATAATAAACAAGTAATTTTTTCACATTATTTACGAAATATTCTAAGATCTATAAAAAAGATAATAAATATTAATTCTTGAAGTACCTATTCACAAATATAAAAAAAAAAAACTTTTTTCTGTGTTTAATGAATCGTCCTTATTTTTAAATCTCATAAAACTACATGCAATCAATGAAGATATACATTTACATTAAATCACAAATCTACTCATAATTAATAAACTATATTTGTAGGCCATTAAGATGATTTCTTAACTCACGAATGTTAAAAATGGTTTACTTCTCTCTTGCTCAATCAATAATTAGTTATGGTATATCAGTCTGGGGTGGAACTTATAATAACTAATATAATAATAAATAATAATAACTATAATAATAATATAATAACTAATATTCATTTGGCTAACCTTGAAGTTACAATTAGCACTTTAATTAAGAAGCCTATGTCTTACCCAACAATCAACTTATATAAAGATTTTAATGTTCTTAATTTAAAAGCTATTTATTATAAAAATATAATTTTAAATATGTATAAAGTATACCATATATAAGTAGGCCATTTATTTCACAACATGAATATAATACACGTTTAAAAAGTAAAAGTAATTTGAATATTAAAAAGTTAATAAACATTTTATGAAAATGTATATGATAAACGTAGGAATTGACCTTTGTAGAAAATTAAATATTGATTTAAATAAATTTAATAATAAGAAAATGCTTGTAAAGTACATTAATAATTTAAGCTTTGATAATATTATTTAAATCTATTATTATTATGAGTATTATTATATTATAAATTTTTTTTTTTATTTTACCACTATTATAATATGTATATTATTATTTTTTATGAAATTAATTAAAAATATTAAGAAAATACTAAATTTGTTTTGTAGGTACCTAATGACTTAAAATAATGAAAAAAAAATGTTTAATAGTTTTCATGAAAATGATTCTTTATTGTTAAATTAAATCCTCAGTAGTCATTATAAATCAATATTTTAATATGTAGATTTTGAGTTATTAATCTTTATATGCGAAGAACAAAAATCCTTAATAATGGTTGTAAATAAAATATAAATTAGATGTAAATATTTAGTCTAGCACTTATTATACTGTCTTATTATATTTTAATTAATTTCAATTATTTTTATTTTCATTAGCTTTCAAATCATCATAGGTTATAGTTTAAAATATAAAGTTTTTTTTTTTTTTTTTAACGATCCTTAAGCCCGGCTTAAGGCCATTAGCTGTTTGTAGGGTTGTATTGTGGTGGTGGTAGGGTTTGGAATGGTAGGTTAATATAAAATTTAACATGTTCAATTCGTATCATATTTTTGTATACTTGTCATGACGCTGATAAAATTCTAGTTTTAAAAAAAAAATTCCTAAAAATTGAAATATTAAAATATCAGTGTACAGCTTGCACTTGATTATGAAACAATGCTTATAGAAGACTGTGACAAAAAACCAAAAGTTTAATCTTAACGCTGACCAAATTATTGTTCATTAACTAACACAAGGTACATGACGCCAATTGGGGTTTTACGCAGCGAACGTCTTAAGTCTCCATAATATTATGTAAACCTACTACCATGGACAAAGCCGTATTGGTTAGGCAAACTAAGAAGAAAATCTCTGTAGGCCGCTTGAAGTTTGGGTCGGTCATGTGATTGTGGGTGAAAATAAATTCATGTTTAAAATGCGATTGGCCACCTATAAGCTCATAATAATTATTGACTTAATTTTGTCCCACTGAATATGTAAATGGGCCGCTTATAGAAGTGAAAATCTCGATGGGCCGATACATACCAATCCGGCCTTGATCATGGACTATTATCATAAGTACTTAAATACACCAAAGTTTAGGAACTTGAATAATAATCTTTTTGATTTCAATTTATATTCATCAACAAATCCAAAAAAATTATTTCCTTAACAATTAAATAAAAAAAAGGGTGGTTTGAAAGAAGGATATTATAATAGAGTGATGGTGATCATATTATTATGTATCTATAAATACCGAATGAATGTATGATAAATCATTTTCTTCCCTTTTCAATGAATTAAATTATAATATTATATAATGATATATTAAATTATTGATTATTGACTAGAACATCGAAAACACGAGAGATTAAAGTGGCGGGCGTCAAATAAACCTGATTGGAGGGGGAATATTTTATTGGCGGGGGTCAACTAGACCAGTACCGTATATCCTTACAGTTAAGGTATAAACTAGACCAGTGGTCGGCAACCTTTTTAGACTCCCGGGCCACATTCATAAATTAAAAAGAGTTCGCGGGCCAGACAAAAATTAAAATTTTATATTCCAAATTATTTACTAAGAAAAAAAATAACTGTTTAAAACTTTGAAATAATAGATTAATAGAACATAAAAATTACAGTTTTTCTGCGTCTGTAAATGGTTTTCCCTCTTTCGCAATTAACATAGCTACATTCACACTAGCAGAAATTATGGCATTATTTTGAGTAGTTATTTTTGAAAAGATCGTTTGTTCTCCGGTTAGAGCTTTTTGTAGTTTATTAACTTCAATTTCTCTTAACTGTCCGTATAAGGAGTCATATTTAACTTTATGCTTGGATTCATAATGCCGTTTAATATTGTATTCTTTCAATACAGAAATTAATTCACGACAAACAAGGCACATGACTTTTCCTTTATTTTCAATAACAAAGTATTGATTGATCCATTTATGTTGAAATACACGACATTCAGAATCTATTTTTCTTTTTTACTGACATTCATTTTAACTAGTTTAAAATTGAAATTAACAGCCAAATAAACGATTACTAATATAAGACATAAAATATAAACTAAAATGTTATAAAAATTACTCACGACGCAAACCGCACATACCTGTATGAAAAACGCAATGTTACTGAGCACAATCGAAAATTAAGATTATAACCCAAATACACTCGTCGTATCTACTCTATCTTATCGGTAACTGTCAAAGTGTCAAGGTATATCCACTATTATAAAATATGACTGATAGAAACGTTCAACTATATTTATACAATATGATTTTTTTTTATATGATATTCAATTAAATTTCGTTGTTATAGAATTTAAAGCGGGCTGTATTTAATAGACTCGCGGGCCGCCGGTTGCCGACCACTGAACTAGACTATAAATGCATGGTTAATAGGGCTACATCACACCTCTAAATCACTGTATAATAGAATTTAAAAATAATTAACTTATCACTTTGCTTAATTTTTTAAATAAACGCAACATTAATTTTGACATTTTACTAACTATTTAGTTAGTAAAAGCGTAATAAAAATTGTTATAAATTACAAAAATACTTTTAAATATAATAATTTTATATATTTTAATTATTAGTACATTGTTTTAGCAAGGAACTGAACCTTTGACATGGAACATTCGTTTTAAAATTGCAACAGGATCAGCTAGAGGATTGCAATTTTTACATGGAATGGATTTAATCCATGGAGATATTAAAAGGTACTTTTAAATCTTATGAAGTTATTTAGTTTAAACAGCAGGTCACATATTTTGTGACAAATATCATGTGTTTGAATAGTTATGTGTCTTTTAAATATATTTAATTCATACAAGATAATTGATGTTAGACAAATTCCAAAACGAAAATCATACATCGATGTATTCAAAGGTGGGAAAATTAATAAATAATATTATCTTGAGTTAGTTTAGGTAAGTCTACATCAGTGCTCAAATTGGAGGTTGTGCGCACTATTTTTATTTTTTTTTACTTGGACATGGGGGGGGGGGGGCAGTAGTACAAACTAATGTCCGAAATAATTTTTATTAAAATGTGAATTTCAATTTATGTTAATTATAAAACGAGTTTCATTATTTCATGTCAAAATTATTTTTGACATTAGTATAATAATTAATTATAATATCACCCTGTGGTTTGCCTATATAGTCAGTAATTCACAGATCATAGATCATATTCATGTACTAGTAATATATTATCTAAGGCACAGATACTTGTGTGTGATACTGTGATAGTAATATCTTAAATTGTGTTTCGAATGAAGTGCTATCAGTTTCAGTTATGGTATCATTTATTGGTGTTTTTGAATTTTTAAATTTTTTTATACTTATCAAAATATGTGGTCTCTTTTGAAATAAAAGCAATAATTATTAATTTCGTTATATATATTGTATATTGAATAAATAGATAGATTATTATTAATTTTGTTTCTACTGTAACAATGTAAGAACGCTACACTAAAAAAAAAATTACTATAATATTATATAAACAAATTATAGTAACTTTAACTATTTAATAGGTAAAATAACTAAAATGATTTACTTATTATGACTATATAAATATAGTTATTTTTTTTATTAACGTTTGAATTAACTACAAAATATAGCTAAAATAGCATATTTCAGTTCGAAAAGAACTATAATTCCTTGACTATGATATTTTAGTAAATCTGACTAACCTTATAGCTATCCCTTTAGCAATTATAATGTATAGTCAATCCTACTATTTTTATAGTACAAACTACTGTTTTGTTTTTTCCATGTATCAAAATATATTATACCTATTTGGAATTCAAAATGTGTGCCTGAAAAGTGGTATTCAAAATGTATGTAAGGTATGAGCATGGGGGGTGGAAGGGCAAAGCCTCCTACGGGTCTGTGTTGAGTAATTGTGCCCATGGAATGTAGTTTTTAAATCGTTGGATTGAGCTCCTCTACTTAATTTTTCCCAATTTGAGCACTGGTGGTGGTCTACATTAAGAACATTCAGTTTTAAGTAGGGCCCAAATGTAAAGGTTTTTAGGTTAGAGAATATTATTTTAATTTCTTCAGCATATCTTAGAATATTTAGAAAACGGTGAAAAAAAAAACAGGGCTTAAAACCGGTTACCGGTTTTTAACGTAAACCAGTTACCATGACCAATTTTGGGTCAGGTAACCGCTTCCTGGTTGGTAAGTTTAAATTTTGAGAAGTAATTAACAATTACTGGTAACCACCAAGGATAATAAATTAAGGGGTAACTTGTAGCTTTAACCTTTTTTTTAAAAAAAATCAGAAATATCAAAAAAATTAACGTTATATTTGATTTTTATATTTTATATTTTTTTTTTTTGGAAATTTTATTTTATTTTTTTGATTATTTTTTTTTATTCCAAGATTATAAATGTAATAATAATAAATAAAATATGATTAAAGATGGTATACTGTTTATAGCCACATTAAAAAGTAATAAACACCAATCGTAGATACTAAGTACAATTCATTGATCCAAAGATATATTATAGAACATTTTAGATGATAATTATTATTCATTTTATTTTATTGTTATTGTCGCTGTTGATTAACACTTCCGTGAACGTGAACTATTTTTCAATTGATGGTTATGGGTAATTTACTAATTTAATTTAAATGTATATTTATCCATAGCTTTAAATCGTAAAATATAGCCATATAGATATTCATATTTTAATTTAGCTTGTCCAGAACAATTTTATAAAGTGGATATTTGTTTTGTGTAAATTAAAGTATAGCTAAATTTAAAAAGAATAAATGGGAAAAACTATTTCTGAAGTGGTTACCGGTAATCTTGAAGAATTAAAACTGTTAACCGGTAACCACATTTCTAGAGATAGTTTTGGTAACCGGTAATCAATTACCACTGATTCTAAAAATCTCTAATACCGAGAACCACTTCCGAACATTTTTTTTAGGTCCTAACCGACCCGGTAACCGATTTCATCATAAGCGGTTTCATGACCTGGAAAAAAAAAATGTTTCTTTTAATATTTTAGTTTGCATATTAAAGCACATTCCAATGTTCTGATGTTTTCGTTTTATTTTTTTAATAAAAATAAGTTTTTCTCATTTTTAATAAAATAAGCAGAATATTTGTATGAGTTGAGTGATAAATCATACAAAAAATATTCTGTGCAAAGACAGTTCTTTCAGCCTTTATATAGGTAGGTATATTTCATGATAGGTTTTGATATACTTTGATGTCGCTATTAAAGTAATTTATTTTACTCTTGTGTTCAATTTTTAAAAACTTCCGAGTTCATTAATTAATTCAATTTTATTTTATTTTAATTTTTCATTACCACCCGGATCACAAATAATTTTTTTTTATAATAATGTACAAATAATATAATAACTGAAAGCTAATAAAAATTAATTAAATAATAATAATACAAATACTATTATTTATTTTGTGGATTAAGTCATTTCAAATTTTTACTGAATCAATGATATTAATTTGATTATTTTATTAAAAACTATTATAGCGTGATTAATAATCCATTAATTAGTTTATAGAACTAGATATTTATGTATATAAAAATTTTCAACTTGTATCCCCTATCATTAATGTTATTAATTCTAAAATCGCATATTTTCAAACGCCTGATATCGAAGTATCGAACAGATTCAATCATTAAGCAGTTAAAATAATTGTAATTCTTCTATTATTAGTGCAAATATTCTCTTGGATCCATATTTTGAACCTCGTATTGGTGATTTTGGATTGGTTCGTGAAGGGCCTCTTCAAGAATATACTCATGTAAAAGTTAGTCATGTTTACGGAACAAGGCCTTATCTACCAGATGAATTTTTAAGAGGCAAAAAGTTCTCCACTAAAGTTGATACTTATAGTTTTGGTGTAGTAAGTGTCTTAAATGATTATACATATTATGTAGATTTAATTGTAGAGTTAAATTTTTAATCTTCTTGTACATTTATGAAAATTCAAATTAATACTTTTTACCCAAATATTTTATGTTTTATAAAATAAGTTAACTGTAATGAATGTTTATATTATTTTAAATTGATTATAATATTATTTCCCTATAATTTATTTTAGTAATTTTCTTATTATGTTGTAGAGATGAATAGTCTATTAACACATGTTATTACTGGCTAGCGCCTATTATTTTAGGTATCCTATATTCATATTAGCAATATTACAACAATATTGTGTGATAATCATTATTTTATTTACTTATTACCATATAGCAAGCTATTTAAATTATTATTCAACACTCTTACCATTAAATTGTTTTTTATTCACTAACCTTTCCTTTCTATATACCTAATACATTTTATATGATGCAATGATTCTTGAAATTACATATTTTCCCAGCTTAATGATTAATGGCATGTTAATTGGCATTCAACGTTATTTCATAGTATTATATTCAACAAATTATTATGATATGTTAATTTATTTTGTTATTCATGCTAATTTTAAATTCAATTTAGGTGCTTTTTGAAATTGCTACTGGACAAAGAGCATATGACAGTTTAAGAAATCATAAATTTTTAGTAAGTATCAAAATAAACAAACTGTTGATAATAATTATTATTATTACTCCAATTGATGTTTTATTAATACCAGTCATAATTGTATATGTACCTAAATTTTATAGAAAGACCACGTTGAAAATAATGATTGTTCAATTTCTGATATGGCAGATGCGAAGGCAGGACCAGATGAAAATAATCTATATGCTTCTCTTATGACTATTGGTAAACATTGTGTTAGTTATAAAGCAAAAGATCGTCCAGAAATGGAACAAGTATTAAGGAAATTAGATTGTGTTATGTTACAAGAAAAACAATGTAAGTATACAATCTACAATAATAAACAAATATATTATTATATAAATGACATATTAATTATAATTTAAAGCTACCATCAGACACAGTTTACCTACATTTCCAAACGAGATGCCAAAGATAAAACTTTCAATTTACCATCCTCAGCCATGGCTAAATGTAAATTTTTTACTATTTAGCATTCAATAACTATTTGCATGTCATAAAACTAACATGGCCGATGGGTTACTAAACATGATTATTATTTGTTACCAAAGACATATTAATTAAGCATATACCAATGATCTAAGCCAAAAAAATGATAAATAATTAATATAGGTATAAAATAAAATAACATACCTACTTGTTTCCATTTAAGTTCCCTTAAATTAAACTTTTATTCAAATTTTTAATTTTTATTTAGAAACTAAAATTTATGATAATTTTTCTAAATTAAACTTGCTTGTATTTCTTTAAATTTGTTTAGTTATACCAAACGTCCAAACAATTATAGAAACTATTCAGAAAAATAATTATTACCATCCAGTCTTAATATTAGATTGGAAACTATCTCTGGTATACCTCAGTTAAATTAATCTTGTTTCATCAGTATTATACTTTAGATATGTTTTAAAAATATATTTATGTAACCATCCAAAGCTTCAGAGTACAAACTACCCATGTCCAATTTGGTTATAAGACTAGGGGACTAGAAATATTAACACATTAACATAATTTATTCTACTTACGAGGTTAAGTTAGGAAATACTTTGGGGAGGTGGAACCTTCATGAGTTTAGAGGTAGGCAAATGGAAAACGTTTCTGAGCGGAGACCACAACACCGCACCTTGGATACTGGTTCGGTGTTGTACAATTGATTCTTTACCTTCATTGGTTCACCACTTTTATAACACATGACTCTAACCAATAGTTTTTTAGTTCATTTGATCAGGTAAAAATCACACTGTATTTATACCAGAAAGCTTTTACATTCTTGTTGTTTGTGTTTGATGATAATGGTATGTATGTATGGAATTATATCAATGAATAGTTCATATCGGATTGATAAAGTTTCTAAACATGTTGTTGGTACCTAGGTACCTTGTAACCAGAGTCCAACCATATTACTGTTAAAACCGCTCAATTCCCAAATCTTAATTCTACTTCCTTTTTCATCTCAACATACTGCAACTGCCATCTTACGAGATTGTCATCTGCCATCTTATTTCATCACATAATTGTGTATGTTATATATATCTTATTATGTCGTATGTGCCCATATGCAGTGTGGCGTAATCAGCAGGAGCCACTGCTTTACTTAAGTACATAATACAATAAGCAATGGCACTTATTTTTTGTAGTAATTACAACATTTTTAACAACCATAATATAGGTACAAAAAAGAAAAAAAGTGGGGCAAGTGGGTGTCACTCTGCTGTACAGTAGGATACAAGTGGGTCACTGTAATGGATGGTGTTAAATTTGAATTCAATGATATAATATACAAGATATTATATAAGATTAACGATTTTAGTAATTTTATTGTAATTTTATAATATTAATTCAACTAAGTAAAAATAATAAGTAATAACTAATAACAATAAGTACAAACATAATATAAAATATCCATTCTGACAAACCATCTCCTCTCAGAATTGTTTTTCGTATATAATGATATTATATCCCTGAATTCAAATGTAATACCATCCATTTAATGGATTCCAGTACAGTGACCCACTCGTAACCTACTGTACAGCAGAGCAACCTTCACTTATCCACTTTTTTTTTTTATTCCGATGGCTTCTTTTACCTGTTATTCTACCTCTACACTCGCTACGCCTCACCTTGCGCTTCGTCCTTTGACTCGTGACCAAAAAAACTAACATTGGAAACTGTGCACCCAAGTGGGGGGGGGATATCAGGTTTAAGACCCCCTCCATAAAATGATTGGCCCCTAACATCTTGCTGATTTTATTAGGTATTCACTTTAAATTATGATATTAAAAAGTATCAACTATCTAACTAAGATCGTGCACAAGCGTTTTTTCGGATTTCTGTATATATTTAAAAATAAATACTGCAACTATTTTAAAATAATTTTATTTACTCCCTCCACATCTCAAAAAATAACCCTGGGTGTGCCCCTGACACGGAGTGCAGTACCGATTACTCGTGAGGCGAAATACGTAGGTACTACGAGTAGGTATGACTAGTAGAGCTACCCCTCTACTAAACGTTTGTGCTCACGTCGACTCGGCAAGAGTGTAGATTTAGGATTATCCCCCAACCCCCCAAGACATGAGTATCACAACGAAAATACTTTGTCGAGTTCCGTGTAAAAAACGGTTAAGGAAAAAAAACGGATCTTTAGGTGCTATATAGATGTGATATCATAAATAAATGCCAAGTAAATTGAATTAAAGTAGGTACATTTATTTTGTTTCAATAATTTATTTACTTGGCGAGAAATTATTTTGCTTAGAAATGTCCATTAATAATTATAATATTATAAATTATAATGAACTTTTAATGCCTTTTGTTTATTTTGTACCAGGTACCTACCTAATAATTAATAATTTAAAAAAAATTGTCAATTTTTTAAATCACTGTAAAAACGTATAAATGTCAATAATATATAAATATAAAATATTCACCATGTGCAATACAATATAATTTCAATAATATAATAAAAATTTAAAACAAATTGTCAATTTTTTAAATCACAGTAAATAATAGTGTGTAAAAAAAAATATATATTTAATATTAATATTATCTATTTTATAATCTTTTTCTTAAATTAAAAAATGTATTTATTTTTTTTTTTATTTCTTTTAAATTTATCACATTTAAAATTTAATAATTATAATAATAGGTTACAATGATGTGTGTTTTTATAAGCATTTAAATTTCAAATTTTGGCAAAATACAATTCATACATACTACTGTATTAATAATAAAACCGCGGATAAGATAAAAGTAAATAATTTATTCATTTTGAAACACCTTATTTATACTATATACATAATTTACACATAATTAATAATTATTAATTATTACTTATTAATTTGCAAAATCTCATATGGGGTTATTTTTTCGGGGTCTAAATTTACGGGGTTATTTTTACGCGGTACCGTCTTAGACCTTAGTGTGTAACACATCATATTTTAGGTGAAAACAAGGTAAGGTTTGGCGATTTTAACTAAAATAAATTGGGCCTGGCCGGGCTGTTTATTGAACAAAAATGTGTCGGGCCAGACCGACCCGTTTATTTAACTACAATAAATCAGGCAGGGCCGGGCTAAATGTATGAAAAAAAAATTTGAACGGGCTTGAGCTTTAAAAATCAGGCCTGTGCAGAGCTCTAATGTACAGGTAGGTAATTATAATATAACACATATTATCATAACATATTATTCGATACTTAAGCGATAGCCATGACATTTTATCAATATTAGTCATTTACCCACAGGGCCGTCCGGACGATTTGCTTGCAGGGCCCGGGGCAGAGTAAATTTGTGGGGCCTAAAATGTCATTACCGTCAGTTGGCAGTTGCATTTATTTAAATATTTAATATTATGAATTATGATATATACCTACCTAGGTATAAGGGGGCTACGCGCAAATATACTTAAAAATATAGTACCTTGTACTTACAATACTATGAATAAGTAAATTAATTAATAATAAAACAGTAAACACGTAATATATTTATACTTAATATAATAATATTGATAAATTAATAAGTCTATAAAATATATAGTAGGCACCTAATACAATATGAAAAAAGGAAGACAAGTGGGTACCGCTCTGCTGTACAGTGGGTGTCAAGCATGTCGTTGTAATGGATGTGTTATATTTAAATTACATAATACATTGATAAATTATTGTAAACGAAAAAATATTCTGAGCGGAGACATTGTATCAGCCTATCACACTTGTAAAAGTAATCAAATTTAGTAGCTAAAAAAAAATTAACAAAGATCGAAAACGTGGCTTCCTGGGGAACTTTTTTAGTTTGATAGAATTACAAAAACTTGTTGGAAACCTTCTATTAAAATGTCTCAAGTTAGGTATGAAAAAAAACTTTTATGAATTTTGTCAAAATTGGAACTTTATAAGAATACAACAAAAAATTGAGCCTATGTATTTTTAAAACTTCCATTAATAAAAATTATAAGGAACCTATCATTACATTTTCAAGATTTTTTACTAAATGAAAAAGATTTTATCGAGGATAATTTTAAAAAAATTTAGAAAAATGGAAAAATTTCTCAAGGGCATAAGCGTATAACTAGCTCAAAAATAGTCAAAATATTGAGAAAATGTTTTATGGAGAATTCTAATATAAATATTTGTTGAAAATTTCAAGGTTCTACAGTTATGAATTTTTGATATACACCAAAAAAATAAAATCGATTTTTCAAAAATTGATTATGTATAAAAGTCACCTATTTTTTTGTTTTTCTCAACGCTTTCTAAAACTACTAGAAATTTTTAATTTTGACTCCCCAAAAATACCAACTATAGTTTCACTTTTCTATCAGTAAAGATGATGATCTAAGAAATCGGAGCACTTTTACTACCCAAAAAGGGCCATACAAAACAGAAAAAAAAACACACATCATTGTAAAATAAATACATTTTTTCGCTCCGCTCAGAATCTAAGCATTTTTTTTCTATAAATATTATAGCTAAGTTGTTGTTTTTTTTTGGGGGGGGGGCAGAGCGCTTTGAAGATTTTCATCATTTTCAACTTTGAAAATTGAATTTTAATCATATTAACTCGTTTTAAATGCAATACATTTATTTGACGACTGACGTCAATTAATATAAGTAGGTATAGCCGTAGGTATAGGTAGTAAAAATTACAGCAATTAAGGATATAAAAATTAAAAAATATAAATAATAATTTTTTTTTCTCATTAACTTGGCTTTTTTATGGTATCTACAAAAGCGGGGCCTGTCCAACTGGTGAAGGCGCGGGGCCAAGGGCGAGGGCCCCGCTCGCCCTGCCCTAGGGACGGCCCTGTTTACCCACCTGATATTTTTAGAACAAGGACAATATTGACAGTAGTGGCAGTATAATGGTTTTTTGCATGTCGCCGTTGCGTGTTAGTTATGGCTCTAATAGTTATATTTTAAAGCTGGTCCCACTCCCACATGACCTGCAACATCATAATCGCCAGTTCTAGGTGACTAGGTCACTGTACGGTCAGCATTGAAAGTGCGAAACTTTTATATTCCTACTTTTTTTTTTTTTTTTTTTTTTTTTTTTTTTTTTTTTTATTAAAATATAATTACAATCTATACAAAATTTAGTACAATAAGTAATATTGATATAGTATTTACATAATAACGTGAATGACAGATGGGGGAGGGCACTCAGTAGTGCCACCCGACTTATATTCCTACTTACGACTTATCACTTATATTTACAATATATTATTATAAAAGTAGGTACAGTATTATATACGTGATAACATTTCCTAAATTGCCAACATTTCCGGTAACATATATATTATATTATATTATAATATATTATACATATACCTACCTATTCTTAAGCCGTTTTTTACACTAAATGTTTTTGTTGTGATAATATCACCAATTTTTTAGAAAATTGTCGAGGCAACTGTTTTTTGGGGAATTTATTATTCAATATAGGACACAAGTACTTTTCCTTATTTTTTATTCTTTGTTCGTACCTACACTTAGTTGGCATATTTATAATAAAATAATACCAATTTATTATTGTACTCGAGGTGCGAACACAGTAATACGTAATAACACACTAAATAATACACTAATACTACTTAATTATAATTTAACAAATTACCGAAAATACCAAATAACAGTAATATACAAACACCGAATACCGCTATCAAAATTTGAAATACCGCCAGGCGCCAGCCCTACTAGATACTATCGGCATGCAAGATGCTGGTGTTAGTTATCCTATTCCAATAGTTATTCCAACGTACCTACTCTTTTGTGTATTGACTGTATTATATTAAAAATAAAGACAATTATAAATCTAATTTGCTTGAATTATTGTAGAGTCCTGTACCGAATATTGATTTGTTAAAACCAATTACAAAAGGTCCAGCAATGCCTCTAATAAAAAAGAAGAATTGTCTTAAAGTAACGAGCAATCCAGATTCTACAAGATCCACAAATCCCTCGCCATCCATTTATGAATCACCTTCCGACAGTAATGGGGATTCGAATAGACCTACATTTGATGATCCTGAACTTCAAACTACTGTTGAAATTACTAATGTTAGTATAAAATTATTTATGAACTGTTTTTTAAATTTAAATACCAACATAATATCAATCGCCATTTGTGATGAGACAAATATAATAAATAATATAATAAAAAAAAAAATTGATCTGCTGTAGGAGAGACAAGTAACTCAAAGTTAATTGAGTGCCAATTTTTAGAAATTTAAAATCTAGTGGGTCAGAGAACAGATAACATTTTTTATGCACAAATGGAAAATCATAAAACATCTTAAAAGTAGATATTTTTCAACAGGTAATTTTTTCAAAAGCACTCATCAATTTCTTTTGTAGGTAGATAAAAATGGATTTGTTTGCATCTCTTATAATTCTAATTAAAGTGTAGCATATTGCTTTTCGATTTCAACTGTCATAGGATTAATGTACAAATTTATTATCTACAAACAACATAATTTATAAAGACAGATTATCGTTAAAATTGTATGAAGTAATTTGAAAATTTAGCAAGGGCCAGATAAAAACTAAGAAGGGTACCTACCAGTGGCCCATCCCTGCTCTATAGACAATACAGGACTTTTTTTTTATTTATGTAGAGTACCTCCTATTATTGGTACATTATTAGGTATTTTTAGGTTAGTAATTAAAACAAAGATTTAAAATGTCTATATTATTCTAGAGTGCTCAGAATAATTCAACTACTGGAAAATGTGATCAATTGATACCATTGATATCAAAACTACAGGAATTACAACCTAATCAAAACTCTATATAATAAATAATATGTTGTATTTTTAAATATTTATGTTATATCATACTCTTAATGATTTGTTTTTAAATTTATGATGTTGAATTTTAATATTTTATTCTTATAAGCTAGGAAAGTTTTATAATTATTTAACATTTTTTTTTTTTTTTTTGTATGTTCACTTACATTTTATTTTACAAATAAAAAAAACTTGACAAAAAATAAACAAATTTTTGTTTTAAATAAATATAGTAAGTCAGTTCTTATTTCAGTGGCATTGTTATAATCAACAGTTACATTTTTTACACCATCATTTGCTGTTCCGTCTTACAACTTACAAGCATGTAATGTTGCAAAATTGAAATTTATGTTTATCAATTCTCATTTAGTTTTGTTGGTTTTGGTATTTAATTGAATTGAACTACCGTAAAATATATATTAAACAAGATTATCTCTGATCACGCATCAGTTTTTTTTAGTTTTAAAACAAGTTAAAAATATCTAAAACATTTACAATTTATTTAAAAATATTCACAAGTCATCACTTGCTTTAAATTTTATAACGCTCAATTCACTATATAAAACCGGGGACGGATATGCTAGACTAGCATTCTAGAAAACCTCGAAGGGCCGCTAACATTTTGAGCTGGTAGGATATAAAATATAAAATATATCTTTTATTCAAATTTTTATTTTTTCATTAATCTTCATAAAATTCTAAGGTCAACAGAGTCAATGGGTTGGGGGGGAACTATATCTACCCCTCTGGCTATGCCACTATAACCGCAATGCCGAATTACGATTTTGTTTCTTAGACAGTTATATGATAGTATACTGTCAACAAATGTGATAAGGTCATTATTATTTATTAATATTAAAACTTGGCCAATGTGGACCACTATAACAAATTATGGGTCAATAAAAATATATTTCTCGACAAAAAGTAAAGACTACCTACACAAACCGGCCCTGATAAAAAAAATGAACAAAGCTAAATACAAACTGCTAAAAACTGAGGAGACAATGTAGGCATTAGACTTTGTTTATTTTATATAGTTTTATTATCATGATCTATGCCCTTTTAGTTTTTAAATAATAGGGTCAACTGAATAAAAAAAATAATTGTATTACCATGAAATGAATATCTTTTGTACAAGACATCAATGTCACAAAATGTAACACATACAATCAAACAGCAATAAAATGTATTTAAAAAAAGCAAGTGATGAACTAGTTAGTGTCATAATGTTAAGATTTAATTTTCAATAATAACTATATTAATTACGTTCATCTAATGTCTTAATAATTATTACTTTTGTAGAACAATACAACATTTTACAATTCAAAAATCAAACAACTAATAATAACTTTATCTACAAATAAAATTTATTTAACAATTATTTGGTTATAACGAAATGTGTACATATTATTATTTATAATTTTATATACAATAACGCTTGTCATTTGAAGTATCAAGAATAGAGGGTGAGCAAACTATAATTACAGATCTTAAATTTTATTCAGTCTTATTTCACGACAAAAAAAAAAAAAAAAATTACATTAACATTTTGAATGTAGAAAGGCACAGTTCGAAGTTTTACAGAAACCTTGTTTCGCATAATATTTACATAAGCGACCTCCTACTCTTCCATTTCCTGGATGCCCACCTCTCCGATTGTATGGACCTCCTCTATTACCTCGTTGGTTATTACGGTTCATTTTTCCTCGATACGAGTCGTAATTACCACCCCTAGGATTGTCCCATCTAGTGTGACCACGCCCGCCACCGCCTCTTTCAAAATGTGGTGGGCCGTTGTTAGGAGGAGGTTGTTGTTGGCCCCAGTGTTGATCATGTTGCATTGGAGGCCCAGTTGGACCCATCCATTGGTCCTCTTGAACAGGTGGATGCTGTTGTTGTTGTTGTTGTAGTGGTGGAGGTGGTGGTTGCTGTTGCAGTGGTAAGGGTTGAGGCTGTTGTGGCATTTGATCACCCATAAACATCTGATTATTCATCATCATCTGGTTTGGGGGAATGTACATATTGTTGGCCGGAGGACCCATCCCCATCATATTTTCAGGTGGCATACCCCAATTCATTTGATTGCCCCCAAACACAGGGAACTGAGGTTGCGGTATCATCATATTGGGCATTGGCATTATATTGTTCATTCCAATAGGAAACTCTACAATAGGAGGTTGATCACCTTTAGATTCTGGCCAAGAAATGCTAACATAATTGTAAATAGGGGCTGTATCCCCTGACATGTCTTCCAAGGGAATGTTTAATGGTTCAGAGTATGGTACTATTTCCATTTGATCAGGTTCTTCTGGTGAATCCGGTACCCTGTATAATATAGTTAGGTTAATAATATATAATCATGGCAATTTAAAATTGACAAATACACTTACATATTTCTAGTGAAATAAATAGCTTGCAAAACTGATTGTTCTCTAAGAGTCTGTTTCTTTTTTTCTTGGCTGCCACTACCATGTTCCATTTTTTCTTTACCAAGCTCTTCTGGTAAGTCAACTAACAAGCTATCATCTAAATACCGCCAAGGTGTCTTTGATTCCATATTATCAGCAGCATCTAAACAACAAATATATTTATTAGTATTACTCTTTATATATTTTGGGATAAGGTGTTATTTATTTTTTAATTTGACTATGTATCTTACTTAATTTTCGAACAGCTATGAAATTTTGTCTTTCAACATCTCGTTCATGCATTTCCATAGCTTTAAAATTCTTTGTTACATTTACTAAAACAATTAAAAGTATTATAAATTAATTATTTTTGAAAAAGAATAAACATTCCTTATTCAGGTAATTTTTTCATAGAATAGCTCTTCGTTGAAATTTAACCAGGATCAGATATTAATGATGAGCTAATATGAACTAACTAATTTGTTATGAACACTTCAACTTTAAACTAAAGTCAATGGTATAGAGATCTACCTATTTAGCTATATACGTACGCTTTCAGATTTTAGATTTAATTTAGTAGGTACCTTGCACATTATACAGACGTAGCGTGATGAATTTGTATGGGAGGAAGAGAGGAGTACATAACATATTATATTCTAAAAATATTACAAAAAATATTATGAGGGGCTATAGCTCTCTTAGCCCCCCCCCCCCAATTGTACATCAATTTGGTTAGGATTTACTTGAGAAAATACTAGTAATAAGTAATAAGTAATAAGTAACAACTAAACGAAACATTGTGTAGTGTGGGTACAAGATAACATAGGTATCAAAATAAAATTATAGCTATACCTCTTTCGGTTTCGTCGTGTTCAAAATAAGAAACTTTCACCAAATCGTTTTCTTGTTTCCACGAAACCGATTTCTTTGACGATTTATTTCTGACGTACACCAGAACACTTCGCATACCACTTTTGTTGTCGTTGCAATTATTCGTAGTTGATTCGCGAATTGCTTTAAATACATTCAATATTATATTAAAACACATATAGATAAATTTATTAAATAAATAATATTACTCACGACTTTTCACTTGGATTTTTTCCTCGGGTTCATCAGTATTGAGTGACTCGTTTGTAGAATCTAGTAAAGTGTCTCGATAAAACTACAAAATAAAATATGATTTAAACTATTATTATGTTTTTACTGTTTCACAAGACTTAGTTAGTCAACTTAATAAATTATTATCCACCTAAATTATGTTTTATGTTTTTTTTATTTATACAAATAAAGTACCTATTGATATAATGATATCAATGTCACCCCATAATACATTTTATGTTATAACTCAAAAACTATTTGATCAAATTTAAAATGGTTTGAGATTTATAACTTTCATACCATTACCATTAGTTTAAAATAAAAAAAAATGGGGGTATCAAAGTCGCCCCGAATTCCGTCTGACTTTGATAGCTACTTTGAAAAAATTATTTAAAAAAAACTGTCTGTGGGAAAAAAAAAATCGAGAATGTTGGTAAAGTAGTACTTGATGCAACGGGATTATTTTGAGATCTGTAGCATAAGTATTAAAAAAAGTATGCTTAAAATAACAAACAAAATCAACAATATTTATCAAAGTCACCCCAATCTACGGTAATGAGAAGATCAAAGACACATTATTATTTATTAATTAATTCTTCAAAATTGTTAAATACCTTTAGTTGTGGTGGCTTTTCAACTACCGGTTCAACATTTAACTCTGGTTCTGGATCAGGGGTCACATCATGGGAAGCAGTATTTTCTGCCGATAAGGGTACATAATCAGAAGGCTTAGCTGATTCTGAAAACGACAGCGACTCATCGGCGCTCGTCATGGGTTGTGGCAAAACTAAAGAATCCAAATCCAACGTTGATGGTGAATGTACTGGAGATCTCGGTGGCGATGATAAGTCAGGTTTCACAGGCGATAATGGGATGGACGATGGGGGAGAGTCTTGGTCTTTTTTAACAACATCCGGTTTAGGTTTCCGTTTAGGTTTTTTGGTGACTTTTGGAGCCGAGTTTAGGACATTCAACATAGCATCCATAAACAAACCACTTTCTTTAATTTTAGCTGAGAACAAAAAAAAATCATAAGTTAATTTCTATAAAAAAAGAATCCTATGAAGTATTAACATATATTTTATGTTTCAAATAACACATTGGTTGATTCGTAGATTTAGAGAATAAAAAATTAACTTAATTAACGTTATATTCATGATATATAATATTGAACGCGTTGGTAAACATAACACGAACAAAGTATATTATTTATAAATTATGGCTTATTGCATTTCTATTAATGTTAAAAAACGTAAAACAATACAGTAGATACAACCGTTTGTGGTCGTTTTAGTGTAGGTACACTGGAAATGTGTGCATAATAATACCCGAGCAACTGCAAAAACACGATTTGTAAACACAACTTCACAATCGTTGGTATGTTGTTAAGGATTTGGTTTTCTTTAGTTCAAATAAAAAATAATCATCATACGTCGTATTCAACACACTATAAAATTAGGATTAGGAGGAATATATTGATAAATAAAAACAATACATAA